GAGGGTCTGTCTGGGTTGAGGCCTCAGACACAGCCGATGCAGCACCTCCAGCAGCCACTGGGGAGCGTGCTCTTCGACGTGTCATGACCATCAAATTACAAGTTACATCAAGTTACATCAAATTGCTCAGGGTTTAGGGTGAACCTAAGGGAGGAGAATCAAAACTGTCACATTTGAGAAATTGGAAGGGCTACACTTGAGGCAGGTTATGATTAAGAAACTTTTATCATACACTGCACTCAGTTTCAAATCCAGGTTAAATGGGACTGCGGGAACAGCTAATATTCTGGAACAGTCCAGTTTTTGTAGCTCTCATACACATTCAACAAGCCAATATTTGGCTCTTCCTGATGCATTAATATTTATAAAGTCTCTCCATCAAAACATAAATTGCTTTTAAAACAATGTATCATGCACACTGGGGAAAACACATTGGACTCACTTGAGTTACTGCTCAAGCTTTTGTACTAAGCAATGCATTTGGGTTTTTTTAACCATACAGAGTTGGAGTTCATTTTCCATACAATCCTTCTGTTTTTCGGAACCTTTTGGGACGTTTGGTGTTTTGCAAGTGAAATGCAATGAAGATCACTTGCATCTAACAAAAGACAAACACATATATTTTAAATAAACATCAAGGGAAGAGATACTTACAGTAGCATGTTCTGTGACTGCATCTTCTGCACACAATGCTTTCAAAAGAGGTTCATAAGCACTCTTCCTACCGCACAGCAGCATGACAAATGCCATTTTATTCATTGTTCAGTGCTATCTTGCATATTTCTTCCCCCCAGCTTTTACAAGCCAAAAAACAAATCAGAATCTGATTTCAGACTGCCTCAAATTAATCTGAAGCTAGAAAACAAATAGATCACGAGGAGAAGCAGCATTTAGGGAAGCAAACGGGATTGCCCAATCCATGCATTTTTTTTGGCTAGTAAATACTAAAATGATAAGCAGCAGTCAGCATTAGGAGAAAATGCTTTATAATAGCAATAACTCATGCTTTCAACAGTATTAGGCAGTTGAAAAAAATCTATTGAAAAGGAGACTAATTTCTAGGATGTGCCTATAATTATAATAAGAGCATTTCCAGGGACCAATAATCAATCACAAAAATTTATTTTGTTAACTATAAAAAACTTCCTATGCCCTGGGAAAAAACTCTAGATTTGGTTGAGAAGAAATACTTTGGTATAAAGTCACAAAATGTTCATCCATTTGGTATCCGGCATGCAGAGTTTAAAGTCTCCTGCTAAATCAATACGGCAAGTTGAAATGTATTTCCATTTCTTCAGAACAGTAAAGCTTCTTCCTTCCAGAACTCAGGTTCTGTAGAAAAATCACTTCATTCATCTGAACCAGGTTCCTATCCACAGGAAAAACAGATTGGCAGAGCGTTTTCCAAGGGTTGGAAGGCTGTACTGTTTCCTAGTAAGGCTAGAAGTAGAAAAATCTGAAGCATGACAAAATAATTCCCAAATAAAACAAACTTCATTTAAAAATACATCTTGAGATACTTACAGTATTCTAAAGCAGAGACACACCGTCATATTCAGCTGATATAAAGACACGGCTCATTGCTTTTGGTTCACTGTCCACATCAGAGAAAGAACACTACTCCCCGGCTTTTTTTGGAATATCACACTTGACTGGTACGTCCTTCTCTTTCTGAATTTTAAAAAGCACTTTCTGAGATGCCTCTTGTCTCCGAATGAACTGGGAATGCCCTATGAGTGCACTGCGGCTGTCCCGTCCCCCTGATCCCTCCCGCCCAAGGGAAAAAGATTTTTGGTCGCTCCAGTTTAACCATCGTTAGCAATCAGAGCTCTGCTTCTCAGAGCAGGAGCTCTGTACTTATTTGAAAGTAGCCCTTTTTAGATATGTCAGGTTAGATGTAGGAAATAACTCCTTATTATTGGCCCTTTAAAAGGCCAGTCCTTTCAACAACTGCACACGTTACAAACATTTCAATAGAACAGAGCACATCCATTTGTTACTGTGAAGATCACACTGGCATTTATGCAATGTTCACTGTTTCCATAACCTTGAATCTCATCAAGGGTTCAAGCCTTCCCCAGGAGTGACTTCTGGGCAGGCAGGCTAATGGAGTACGCTAAGAGCACTATTAAGAAAACCTAGAATAAGGGAGGACGAATGCTTTCCCTTATCTTCCTTTGCCGTCAGCCTGCGGGAAGCTTCATCCTCTTTCAGTCTCATTCTTGTTAGCAGCTCTGTTCCGAAACACTCTAAAGTCCATTTGGAGGCTTTTTGTCTTTCTTTCTGGGTTCATGTCTTTTTATTACTCAGCTTCTGCCTTTGTAGATGAGTCTCAATCTCTTGCCTGAAAACAAGCATCCCTAATTGGCCATGAGAAGCCTCGTTCATGGCCTTGGACTGCATGCACATTTTGTACTGCTCTGGGGTGAGCTCGTCCAGACATCGCTTTTCATGCCAGAGATGGAACAGACCCCTGACAGGCGTTCTGATCACAATAAGGTTGCTGTGGAGGTATTTGCGGTACAGATGCACATCTTCTCCACCCCAGCCTTTAATGTCCAGATCAAAGCCACCTGGCACAAAGAACATCCAAAATAACATCGGAAATACATTCCTTCCACTAGCAAACTTGATACTGCTGTTCTCTGGGTCCAGTTGGCTCTTTAAAAGAGCCACAGTTTCTGGCAACATCATAAAGCATTCAAATTCCTCAACCTAAATAAAATCCTTCATCATCATGCAAAATTCCTTTATTTGTACTGGGCAGTGCTTAGTTTCTGGTAGCCTCTATGACATCTGGGAACAGTCTGAACATGTATCCAGAGCACTGCTGCTAAAAAGGGGCACAGAGACACTGGCTGGGGAAAGGGAAGCTGATCACAGTTTCATAAGTTTCAGATGGCAGATGTATTTGAGTGTATTTTTCTTACCTATGTTGATGAAATCAGATCTGTACTGGCAAGTCATCCCAAACCCGAAGTCTCTCCAAAATCCAGTTTCTTTTTTAATAATCTGCATAGGGAAAATGATCATTTATATGGGAGCAAAAGCCCTTTCAGTCTGAGCAGGGGAGAAATAAGCTCCTGGGTGTGGTCAGAAACAAAAGCAACCCCCATTTTATTTTATCCCACATAAACCCACTGCTGGACTTGATCCAGTTTCTGTAGATGCTCATTGCTTATTCCTGCCCCAAATACCACCACTGTCATTAGCGATCAGGGAGATAAAGCCCTCGATCTGGAATGATCAGTTTTACTCTGCTCCTTGGAAGAACCGCTGTTGTAGACCGAGCAGAGCAATACCACCTCACTCTTTGGAGTTTCCCTTTTCACAGGCAAAACTTCCTTCTAAATTAAGTTAACTTCTGCACGATTCAAAACTTACATAGGAAACGTACTGGTAAGTCAAGGAAGCCAGACTCTGCTGTAGAGCAGATGGTGGCATCTAGATTCTGGACCACAAGAGCGCTGGAAGAAAATAGCTGTTCTAATCTGATCGCACAACTGACAGCTTTTTGATTTCTTAAATTTTGACAAAAATTAGGAAAGTGGTAAGAATCATTTTCTGTTACAGAATTACTGTAAAAAATAAAATCCAACTCCAACCAGAGTCCAGAAATATTAGGTGGGGATTATACACCCTATAAAAGCCTCTGTCACAAGGAATTTGCAATCTACACTATTGAGACGGACGATGGAAACATTACGTATTATCATAGGTAGCAAGTCAGAGCAGTGAGACACAATGGCTAGAATTTTCAAAAGCAGATATCCAAGTTTAGATCCCAAGGTCATAATTAATCTGTGTTAATGATGTATGCAATGCGGTGAGACCCTCAAGAGTTTCAAGAGACTGGAACAGACATTTAACCCTCTAAGCAAGTCAGCAATACTTCACACTCTTGCTTACAGAGCCACCCTTGAGCAGCTATTTTTGAAATTTTTGGCTTCACTTGCCACAAAGTTACAGAAGAAGATGAGACAGGGTTTCCATTTCTGAAGGTACAAATCCTAGTGTTTCCTTAACCAAAAATCTTCTTCCAAGACAGGTAAAATTTCTCTTGAAATCCTCTCTCCTGATTTCTCTGTCACACCTCCCCTTTTTGCTCATAATCCCTGACATTTTGTGGGCTTTTTTATTTTTCTGTTCCTACTGATACCCCTTTCTTTTTGCATTTCTCCTTTCCTTGAAAAAAGCCAAACCACTGCAGAAGCCAACTCAAGATGGTATCTGTCAGGTCTGCACTGTAATAGGAAACCTCCATAACGATGTCTTTGCACCAAGCTATTCGTATGCATTAGCATCATTATTTCCCATTAGTGCAAGTGGCTGCTGCACAAATCAATTGCTTTCAAAGCTTTCTGAAGGCTCCTTTCTCAGCAACCCAAGCACTGGGATAGAGAGCTAACTCTGTCTTGTTTTAATGGCACAGACCTGGCCTCGTGCCTGGGAACTAATGTGGGCCGAATATACAAAAACTACATAGAAATGAAATTGGCAGTACTTCTTTAAATCAAGAAGCTTTTTGACATAAGCATCACATTTTGCAATTCAAACACTAGCTATAAATATTTGCACAAACCTGACAACATACTTTGTGGAATCTATGCTACTTTGAGAACTAAACTCTGTATTTCCTTTCCTAAGTACAAGCGTGAGGATCTCTGACTGACTCTCATCAGAGAAAGAAGAGCTAACGTGAATTCCATGGTATTACCAGAACAGGCTTTCTCTGAGACAGAACAAGTAGAAAGGATTTTCCAGACTCTTCAGTAAGACAGAAAATAATTTTACATGTAATGGCTGAAGAAAGGTTGCCTTTCCATAAATACTAAGAATGGGTAAGTATTTTTTTTTTCTCCCTGGATGGTATAGACTCTTGATCTTTAAATTAACTACTTTTTCCCCATCGGCAGCCTGGAAGGCGTTCTGGATCTATTTTAGAAAGAAATCAGACTGGCTGGCTCTCTGTTGGATAAAATGGAGAGCAATAGATAGAAAGATATTTAGAAGTATCTTACGTGGAGTTTTCCAACTCTTGCTCTTTGTTTTACTAGTGGGATTGCATGAGGTAGTGGTAGTGATGCCAGAAGATTGGACTCAGACCCCTAGCGATCTTTTTCAGCTCTGTCCATTGCTAAGCTCACAACATCCCAAACTCTTAACTCCTGAGAACAATTACGGAGGCTGGGACGCTCTGGAGACAGTGTCCAGCCTGGGATGGGGTAAGCCCTGACCCACACAGTGCCTGCCAGTAAGACCAACAGCTTTGCCAGTTGTCGTGAGCAGACACTTCACCCAAAGGAACTGGAAGAAGCTGCATAGCGGCTAATGCCTCCGCTTGAAAATTGTGCCACTTATTAACACTAGTGGTCAGAAGACTGTGAGGCAGGGACCCGCTGAAAGACGACTGACTCGGGAGAGAAGCAAGGTTGGAGGGTATACATAAAGGCACCACTTCTACCGCTCCTTTAGCTTCTACACAATGCAGTGCCAGAGCATAAGACAATGGAGAACACTGCCTCTGCAGCAGTGCCAAGCAACTGCTCTGCCACTGGGATTCATCTGAACCTCCCACCTCTGTGCTGCTTCTTCACAGCATCTTCCTCCTCACTGAGTAAATTCACCTGACTTTAACTACAAGATTCAATTGTATGCCATATGGCAACCTTTTTAAAACTAATGCTTTGTTCTCGTATTAGAGATAAGCAGATGAGATGAAAGTCAAGGTAGCTATCCTATGTTGCATCGGTTCCAGATCAAAGCCAGAAGGGACAGCTCCAAGCACGTCATTTGGCACTGACGCAATGCGGTACGCTTTAGGAACACGCTAGCTGCTTGCAGGTAGTTCGGTCACAAGCTATGGAATAGGAAAAGCCACTATATGTGCTCAAGTACTCGTATAGCTGCAGCATCCTCTGGAATACTGCTTTCACTGACTAAATAATATCAGATCCCATCAGTCTGATGTCTATGTTCTTTATAAAATCAGCTTTCCAGGACGCAAGAAAAGAAACTATTCAGTGCAAGAGAAAACTAGAGCAACGTCAGGGTCTGTCACCCCAAGACACTAATGCCACCCCACTAATGCCACTCCACACTAATGTGGAGTTGTTGTTAGCTAATTACAAAATCCCTTCTGGCAGAGAATCAGGCAAAGTTTAAATTCCCAGGTTCCATGTATAAAATACCAAACAAGGCTTGAAATAAATGGTACCTAGATACTTTCCTTAAAGCTTAAATGCAAAACTCACAAGGAGGTGACTGTAGTAGTTTTATCTGCGCAGTACATCACTGTGCACAGGAATAGGGAAATGCTAACCAACAGCACAGACATCCTTCAAAAATGAAAGCTTTGTCCAGATAAAAGCAGGTGTTCAGAGAACCACGTACTTACCAGCTGCTGTTCTAAGGATGGGATGGAATCATGGTGGCCATAAATTATACTGGGGTTATACTGGCTGAAGAGAACAGGATAAAACACTTTCTTCCCTAGAAATGACAATGGATTAATTTTTTTTAAAGCTGTGTAAAACATACTTCCCTCTCCTAAAAGATGCTGTTCAGGCTGGATCAAATCCAGATGAAGTCATGCTGCAACTTTCAGATTGAGCCTACATTCCTTGCATGAGAAGAATTCAACCACAGTGGAAGCAGGGGAGCTATAACCTTTCAAAAGTCAGCCAAGAATGGAATTTCTATACATGCTTTAATTAGTCCTCTGCATTTCAAGAATGACTTACAGCAGCTTCATTACCAATTCAAAGGCAAGCACACTCTGGTGAAGGCAATTACACCATAACTAAAAATCTGCTGAAAAACTATACGCTTTGCAAGTAGCAGTACCTGGCTGTGTGTTCAATCTACAGGAGTTCAGGAATTCAGCTGTGAAGTATATGTCCACATCACAGAAAAAGAGAACAACGTTGCTTCCTTTCCAAACTCGAGCACCAATGTCTAATCCTTTTCCTCTTGAAAATTCTTCATTCAGCTGGATGAAGGTGAAGTTCTTGAAGTTGGCTGATCTAAGGAAAGAAAAAGCCCATGAGACCTAATTTAAGAGAGGCTGTAGAGTCTTAGTAAAATATTATTCCACTTACCAAGTGACATTTGTATTTGAAAATGAAAAAGAAAGTTTATTTCTGTGACTCTCAAAGCCTTCAGGAAACTTGGGAGGCAAATCTGGTACTTGTTAAACTACCTTTGAAACTACTTTGAGGAAATAGTCACTGTTTGTACAGGAAGAGCCAGAGAGAGGTTTCTCCCTTAAAAAGAGCAGCTGGTCCCAGTGCATTTTAGTTTTAATATGCAAGCAAAAATGAAAAAAAAAAGGTTTATGTCCTAATGTTTTATTAAGACCTGTCACAGTTACTGCTTGACCTAAGTTAAAAAGAATAAAAGCAAACACAATTGCAAAGCTGGGATGGAAATCACTATTTCCTTTGAGTTTAGGTTAGCTCAAAGACATACTAGAAATGCATCAGTTCTTACATATTCTATATTCTTGTAGAGTTGCTTGCCATTGGAAGAGAACCTTCTGTACAAACGTATGAAGATTTACTTGGGAGGAGATATTACTTAGTGGAGGATAAAAAGCCAGCGTATGTCAATATTTCATGTATTGGAGGAGAGATAGGTAAACGATCAGAGTATCAGAACACTAGCTGATGCTGACTGGAGTTACAGGTAATGAGTTATGTGTGTTCAATCGACACGAAAATAAATCAGCTCTCAGTATTATTGCTGGCCTTGGGGTTTTCCAGCATACATCAGGACTTCCAGGCATGCTGAGCAAGGCTAGAGGAAAAGGACCCCTTTTCCCTTCCAACCTTTTTGTGTTTTCCTGCCACAGACCCTGTGCAAGCCTCCCACGTTGGAAGGGTGTTACCTTGACCTGGGAGCATCAGTGATGTGGTGACCCTGCCAATCTCTTCCAGGTCTGGCTTGGGGCACAGAGCAGTCACAGAGTGAGGAAGTTCTGACATGTGGCCAGGCTGTGGGGGGATGATCCCTGCACTAGGTGATCAGGGATGGGGGAAAACTTGTGCCTTTAACAAACCTGCAAGGGAAATATCACACCTGTCTACTTCACCAGGGTCACGCCATACAAACTGAAGGAACTGCAACGTTGTCAATTACTATTTCTGCTTACAAGGACGTACAGGGCTCTGTAATCTTCTTTGTCACACTGTCCACTTTAAAAGGGGGCATGGCAATTGGTTCACAGAGGGAAGAGGCAAGCGGTTCTTTCTTCTTCTGGTTTGTTCTTTCTGTTTTTTTCATTTGAGGACTTTTCTCTCTCTTTTTTAAGCATTTAGCTAAGGAGAAGCCCAAAGTTTACACTGCTGAAGCAACTTGGCACTCATCTGGAATACTAATTCAAACCTCAGAAACCCAGTCTCAGCATGGGAAGGATTTTTTCTCCACTCTGCATGGCAACATTTTTGCATGTTACCTGAACAGTCTAAACATATCTATCCGATAGCATCACAAAATATGATTCTCTGTTTTTCCTTCCAGGGTTCTTTGCGCTAAAACCCAATTGTGATGACCCAATTTCCATTGAAGAATTATGACTGAATGCAAGTTCCCAAAAGGTTTCCAAAGTGACCATCCTGCATTAATTGCCACTTTGAAAGCACAGTTTTGCCAGTTACTTACTGTTCAGAATGCAGAATGGCTAATTTTGCTCGGTGGAAGAAGACTACTAGCTATAGATTCACCTTGAGTAGAAGCTTTTGCTGACTGCTTTGTGTTACCAGCTGCACACCTACCTGTTAACTGAGAACAGTGTTACTTTCTAAAAGTAAATTGCTTGGCATTTGGTAAGCCATCCACAAACAGTCTGAGGTAGGAAAGAGGAGACTAGACAAAGACTAATTAACAGGTAACTACTTTCTGAGGCGCTGCTGCAGGGACCAAGACTGTGGTTTGCCTGTGGGATACAGTCTGCATGAACATCACACCTTTTCCTACTAAAGTGACCTGGACAGTTAGGTTCAAATACTCCGCTTAATTAATAAACGTTATCTCCTGCCATCCTATTAGACCTCAATTTACATATTTATTTTCAACAGTAATTTTTCTGCTATTATCCCTGTCGTGCTGGCAGGATACCACAGAGAAGCAGTGAGCAGCCGGGCACTCCACCGGAAACGCGGAAGGTATACCAGTGAATTAAAACAAAGGTCTCCTGAGTCCTAGGGAACAAGTTCTTCCTGAAGGAGCAGAGCCATAGCCTCAGCTTCAAACAGGTCTTATCACGTTCTCAGGAGAGAGAATGCCAAACTCATTGTAAAATGCCCTGAAACACCACACTATCCTTAACTGAGCACCACAGGTAGAAGCCTCACTTTTGAAGAGATCTCCACCTAATGCTAAGTGTGGCTGGAAAACCCAGGCTGTGTTCAAATACCATCTTTTGGAGTTTGGATAACAGGCAGCACATTCAAAAGTCCTCATCGTTCTCACTGCACCTCTGTTTAACATCATGTGACTCAAGTAGGAGATAATCAGCAGAGGCCACCTGATAGCATTAAACAAAGTCATCTCTATACATCTCCAGTACACGGGTATTAGCATAACCTCGCAGGGTTGCTTTCATTTAATCTGGTTTTCAAGTGAAGACAAAAATATCCATTTCATCCTCTTAAGGTATTTCACTTCTTGAGTAAGTGAGTATGACAGACCCGAAACTCAAGCACAGCTCGGAATAGTCTGAATCACTCTACTGACACCGAACGTTTCCTGAAATCCTGTTTCATGAAAAAAAATATTGGAGAATGCTGTCAAAGAAATGAGCAATTGTTTTATTGCACTACCCTTAAAATTTATATGTGAATTCAAGCTAAACTGTCACTAGTTCTTCTTCTTTAAATTGCAAATGCAAACCCTGCAGAATCCACATCTGTATACAATATACCGTCATATTTACATAGCTGAGCGTTGTTCTCGCCAAAAAAACAGAAATAACATGCAGCTTAGCTTCTTTTCTGCTTTTGCATTTCTGGATATAGCACTAGATTCCTCACAAAATTGGACAACCCATTACTCTCATTGGCATTTCCTAAGTCCGTCCCATACCGACTTCACAGGAGCAATATCATTACATAGCAGCTCAGGATCTGACCCTGACTAATATTAGCATATTTAAAGTACAATCATTTTGTCATTTCATTTGAGTTAGAAACAGTTTAAATAAGCACAAAGCATCCTTCTAATTTAGCACCCTATGGCTTCAATTTGTCCTATATTTAGCAACGTACCCTGCCATTCTAGCTCTTAACAGAAGAAAGGGAAACCTGGTATGAAACAATTAACCCCCGAAATTTGTAATGCAGTGATTCTGAGAGGAGTTTAGGGGAAGAGATGCCCAAAAATCTCAGCAAGGCTTAGATGGATAAGTTTCTTCAGGTAAGTAGGTAGAAAACATCTGTGTGGTCACATCACTCTATCTGTTCTGCCAGCACGGAGAAGCTAACAAAGGACTACGCTGCCACGTGATCTTGACAAACACGGCTATACAAACAAACCCAATAGAGCAGACCAGGCCAAAAACCTCTAGCTCCCACGGGCTCTGCTGAAATTGTGTCTGGAAGTTAATGGTCAGTCCTAGCAGTTAAATGCCACCTTCAGAAGGACAAAAGACGTTCAGGCCTGACTACTGTTACCAGGGTGAAAAGGAAGCTGCACTAGAGTACATTCAGTAAAATCTGCTCTGTGGTTCTAAAGACCAACATCACAAAAACACAGGTATAGTACTGTTATGGTAATACCATTTCTAGCTGGTAAGAAGGAAAGGATGCTGGTTTCTCCAGTGCAGTTAGGAACTTCTTGGCACTCCTAAGAATTTGAAAAACTATCTAGTCTCCAATTCATGGTGTGATTGCTGTGTATGAATGGCAAACATCAGATATTCAGATACTTACTTGGAGGTATTTTCAAGTATAGATTTGACTTCATTCATTTGTTCTTTTCCAAAGTAAACTACAGTGAGGTGAATTCTCCCATCCTGCTG